CAGAAATGCTTCAGACTTGAGAAAGGGAGGTTCTCCCGAAAGCTTGTCATTAAAAAATTCTGTTAGTCCAATAAAAAAGGTATTACAAGATAAGAATTTTATCTGTTTTTTACATATATATATATATATATATATATATATATATATATATATATATATATATATCTCTATCAATACACTTAGAATGAAATTATATATATATATTTATGCATATGCCCTTAACGTCCGTGGACGTCCTACGTACGTCCCACAAAAAAACGGTTGTTAAGGACCGTGGACGTACCTAGTATGTCTGCGGCAAATAGGAGCCCTGGACCCGCGATCCACATCGATCATGGTCGGGGGGAATGCCGGAGACCCCAGCATCCCCCTGCAACAGCTCTGGCCACCCCAGCCCTCCAGGGCCATGTAATCCCCATAATCACATCGCTGTAATAGGAGTCTAGGAGCTGCCAGCAGAGGGACTATCTGAGCTGTCAAAAAAGTAAAACAAAATAAATATATTATACATATATGTATAATATACTATAAAATAATTAAAGCATTTTATAATATATTATACATATATAATGCATATATATGATTTCATTATAAGTGTACTTTGAGATATATACATACATATCTCAAAAAACACTTATAATAAAATCATATATATGCATTATATATGTATAATATATTATACAATGCTTTAATTATAATATATTATACATATATAGGAAATAAAAGTGTGTGTGTGTGTGTGTATATACCTAAACACACTCATTATATACACACGTAGTAGAGATATATATGTGTGGATGTGTACATATACACACGCGCGCGCACACACACAAAGGGAAATACCTAATTTGGAATACCCTGGGTTATCTACATTTGAAAATGGTATGCCATGATGGGGTTATTTCACATATTCCTGGGCTACCATATGGTCTCAAAAGGCAACACAGACCCAGCAAAACAATCTGGCAAACTGAATTCGGCAAGCCCTATATTGACCCTGTAACTTTCCAAAACACCATAAAACCTGTACATGGGTGTATTGTTATACTTGGGAGACTTCGCTGGACACAAATATGAGTGTTTAAAACCATAAAACTTATCATGACAATGAAATCACCAGTAAAAGTGCAGTTTTTGTGTAAAACAAAATGCAAAAAAAAACAAAAAATGCTAACTTTGGCCAGAGTTTGTGTCTAAGTGGCTACTACAAAAGACTGGACATACCCCATTTTGAATACCGTGGGTTGTCTACTTTTATAAATGGTATGATGGGGTTAATTTTCATTCCTGGGCTGCTATACAGTCTCAAAGGCAACAAAGGCCCAGCAAAACAATCTGGCAAATTTCAATGTGCAAACGTGGAAAAGGGGACAGCCCAAATTTGACCTCTGTATGTTTGCAAAAACCCATAAAACATTTACAATGGCGGCACTGTTGTACTCGGGAGATGTTACTGAACACATATCGGGGTGTTCTTTGTCAGTAACACGTAACAGGAATAAAAATATATGGTTTTATGTGGGTAAATTACATTGGCTGACTTAAAAAATGTCCCAAATAGGACATGGGTGCATGATGGCAAGCTGTGAAAATTCCAAATTGGAAAACTGGAATAGGCACCCTCCAAATAAGGTCTTTTAGCCCCCAGAGAACCCAGCACACCAATACATGGGTGATATCATTGTACTCAGGAGATGTTGCTGAACACATATTGGGGTGTTCTTTGGCAGTAACCCTTAAATATGTGTGGGTACAGAAAATGAGTAAGAGGATAATTACAGCTAAACACTAGAGTTGAGTGGACACCTGGATGTTTGGGCTCGGCGCATTCGGCCGAACTTCGGAAAAAAGGCCGGGTTCAGGAATGAACTTGACCCCGAATCCCATTCAAGTCAATGGGGACCCAAACTTTTGGGCACTAAAATGCCTCTAAAAAACTCCTGGAAAGAGCTAGAGGGCTGCAAAAAGAAGAAACATGGGGGAAAGAGTAGGACAAGTGCCCTGCAAACAAATGTGGAAAGGGAAATCACTTAAAAAAACATAAAATACATAGAAATTAAAAATATAGCTGAGTCATAAAATAGCACTAGTGTCGCAGCTGCCGGCCCGCCGCGTGGCACGGCTGTGCCCGATCGGCTCGTTGGCAAGCCGACAGCCGCTTCCCTGCATCCTCCGGCCGTCGCACCTGTGACGGAACGCTGGCACTCCGACTGAGTACCTCCGCCAATCGATGCTCCTAGTGCTCGCTGAGGACTCCAAGCACTCCAACCGACACCATCAGCACTGCAGACCCCACTTCCAGCGATGCAACTGCGCCGGGGTCTCTGCTGTTTCCACCCACCCTGGACCCAAGGCCAGGATCCAGCTTCCAGTGGGTGAACCTCTCTTTCCCCAGAGAACAGGAACAAATCAAGCTATTGCAAGAGCTTCCTCTGGGGAGTAAGTGATTATAGCAATCCCCAGAGTGTAGGTATCCCTTCCCCCAAACATGAGCCAAGGCTTAATGCTGGAACAAGACTGATTTACTGGCACACAGAACTCACAATTTATGCAACACAAAACTCCTCCTCTGGGCCAGGCTAGATAATTGAGTTTCTACAATACACAAAGCTCAATTATCTGCTGGCCAGAAATAATAGTTTCATAAAACACACAGGGACCCCAAAACATGCAATAACCCCATAAAAAGTATATCCTTGGAACCGGGGGATCTGGGTGAACCACATATCCAAAATTCACCCAGATCCGTTCAGTACTTTGGAAAATACAGTTTAATGCAGATTCTGCAGAACATATACAGGCTAAATAAAAAACAATCACTGTATAATGTGTCCCCTGCTGTATAGTCCAAAACCACCGCACGATGTCTCTGTGCAACAAATACTGGCGAGATGGCACCGTGTTGAAAAGTCCAAACAGTGTCTGTGAGTTAAAATGGCCGCCATCCATTGTTCTCACCATGTGCTTCTGATACAGGAAATGGTGGCCACCCAGTAACTCCACAGTATGTCCCCAGATGGTTCTTAAAGGGCCAGCAGCAGCACAACACAAATCCATTATGCCCAAATCATGTCTTTAAAGGGCAATACAAACCAGGGGCCATAGTCACAGGGCAAGAGGCGGGCAAGCAGTCCTCTCCAGGCACAAGTGGCGAAGGGCACTTCGTCACAGCGCCCGAATCCAAAATGGCGCTGACTGCGTGGTCGCGCCTAATAATAGCTCCGCCTCCAAAGTTTATACTGACGTGCGCGTGACGTCACGACGTCAACGCACACGCACGTTTTGGGGTCAGAGGTCGCCCTCTGACCAATCAGACCTTAGAGAGGGATATGTAAATCCCTAGCTCACCCCAGTCCTTTGCCCTGTCGTGGTTTCCTGTTCCTGGTTTCCTGAGAGTGCTTTATCTTTGTGAATCTGATTTCCTGGTATCCTAATCTTGGCTTTTCCTTAGTTATTCTGAATTCTGGTTTCCCTGACTTGGCTTGTGTAAATGGTATTGTGTATTTTCTGGCTTCCTTGACCTCGGCATTCCCTTTGACCATTCTCTGTCTCTAGTGTATTAGTCCGGCTATTCTAAGGTCCGGTTTATGCTCTGTCCTTTTATTTTCCTTTTCTTGCCTATGTATATGTTTACATCGTTTCTGCGTGCTGGACCACACGAGTAGTCGTGACAACTAGATGGAATCTTTGATTTTATTTTTTGAAGAACATAAATCAAAATCTAAAGCATGGCTCTCAGGAGGATCACCAGAATTATCCATTTGAGAGAGGGTTAAAGTGTAGGGCATTCTCTTTCATTGTTCAAACTAAGCTCAACTCCTGATGCATGGAGAAAAGGCCTTCACAAGCCTTTGCTATTGTGTACATAGTTTATAATAAGTGACCCATAGGTTGAGGAGGCGGTGACCGTGGCAGTGTAGGTGGAAACAGTGGTGGAGGAGGAGGAGGTAGCCAACACAGTTTTTTTTTATATATATATATATATATATATATATATTTAATTGGAGTAGCCACCAAAATATTGGGACATATAAAAAAAGACAACTCTGAGCGACTGACCTGTGCGTGCTGCAGCTGAAACTCCACTATCGCCTGCTGCTGCTCGCACAGTCTCATGAGGCGGTGAGCGGGAAGGCCAAAGTTACGCTGCAGCACAGACAGGTGAGCAGCAGCAGGAGATGAGAAAGAAGTGCCAAAGGAGGTGTAACGGCGCCTGGTATATTACCGAGAGCCACCCTCAGAGGAGATTGTCAGCAGGACCTTTTTGGAGGTGCAAGCCTATGTCCTTGCCAATAGACAGAGGGCGACCTCCATGAACCCAGATGAAGGAAGAAGGGAGCAGAGGGCGCTGGGAAGAACAACCACTCTGGCCCACAAGCTACCATACAATGCCTTAAAAGACTTCAAGGAAGCAGAAGAAGGCATTGATGACATTTTACAAGACTTTGAGCGCCAGTGCCTACTCCAAGACGTGGACCCCAGCGACTGTGTCACCATCCTGGCCAGCTAACTAGTGGGGAAGGCAGCGGATATTTTTTACCGGGCTGTACCAGAAGAGCAGATCAAAGACTATCTCTTTATTTCCTAAATCCTCCTGGCCTGGCATGCGGTCAACCCCAAGCAATACCGCCGAAAGTTTACGGAGACCCGGAAAGGGGAAAAGGACTCCTATGTGGAGTGGGCATGCCGCATACAAGGGCCACCCAGAACTGGCTCAACTTCCATCAAGCCAAGTTCCCAGAGAGATCACCCAGCTCGTCATGCTAGAGCACTTTTTCAATGGGATCCCCAACAACATGGCTGGTGAGAGACCGCCAGCCCCAGACCCAAGAAGTATTTGTAAGAGCTGCTGAAGCTGGGTCACGATATCCCCTTGGCAGGGCATTTGGGCAGGAGCCGGACAGCGTCTCGGCTTACCCACAGCTTCTTCTGGCCAGGCATCTCTCAGGATCTGAGGCAGTACTGCCAGATGTCTGCCAGAGAGTGGGGAAGAGAAGGGACTGGCACAGGGTCCCCCTCCATACCCTACCTATTAGTGAAGATCCGTTCGGCAGAGTAGCTGTCGACATTATAGTTGCGCAGGCACTTTGTTGACTCTTAAGAACCTCGGGCCAATCGCACGTCCCCGTGATGACAACTTTGCATTCGGATATCATCCATATCAATTTTCGATGCCAGTTTCTGCACCTACCATGGTGACCACGGGTAACGGGAAATCAGGGTTGGATTACGATGAGGGAATCTGAGAAACGGCTACCACTTGCAAGGAAGGCAACAGGCGTGCAAATGACCCACTCCCGATGCATGAAGGTAGTGACGTCAAATAACAATACAGGACTCTTTAGAGACCCTGTAATTGTAATGAGTCCACTTGAAATCCTTTAACTCTGATCAATTGGAGGGCAAGTCTGGTGCAGAGCGACTGACCCGTGCGTGCTGCAGCTGAAACTCCACTATCACCTGCTGGTGCTCGCCCAGTCTCTCCAGCATGTACAAGGTGGAGTTTCACCTTGTGGGCACGTCGCATATGAGGCGGTGAGTGGGAAGGCCAACTTCAACATCAGGCATACTGGGTCTCGGTCGTCCGACCGCCGACCAGACAGTGTCTGGGTCCCGGTCACCGGACTGCCCTCCTGACTGTGAAACTACGAATGGCTTGTTAAATCTGTTATGGTTCCTTTTATCACTCCATCTGTTACTTGGATAACTGTGGGAATTCTAAAGATAATACATGCCAACGAGCGCTAGGGGACGGCTTTTGCACCCTGCTCCCTCTTATGCTGTGCTAGTGCCTCTGTACGACCAGCACCTCTTCCTCCAAACTGCACATATCACTTGCATGACCTTGATTCCATGTGGGGTCTAGGACCTCATCGTCCTCCACATCATCTTCCACCCACTCCTCAACCCTGCCCTCCTTGCCGGTCTGCACACTGCAGAAAGACACAGCTGTTGGCACCTGTGTTTTTCCAGCATGTAAAGTCTGCAAAGGACATATGGAAATTGTTGTAGAATTGTATCCAGGCAACAGTATTCCCTATAAACTGACCTCTCAATTTGACTTGTCAGGGTATTGCCCCCGAGTTACAATATTGTTATATTGGTATTTGACAGTTCTATTTGACTGTCAGATATGAAGTGCAGGGCGCAATTATTGCACTATTTAGCACCCAAAAAAATTTGAATTGGTCAAACTGCGATGTAACCACAGTATTTGATGGTTCTATTTGACTCTCAGATATGAAGAGCATGTCCAAAAAGTACTATTTATCAGTTTAGCAGCAAAACAATTAGAATGTTTACAACTGTGCTGTAACCACACTATTTGATGCTTCTATTTGACTCTCAGATATGAAGAGCACACCCAAAATTTACTATTTAGCAGTTTAGCAGCCAAACAATTCAAATTTTTACTACTGCGCTGTAAGCGCACTATTTGACACTTCTATTTGACTCTCAGATATGAAGTGCACCCCACTAATGTACTATTTAACAGATTAACACCCAGAAAATAAGAATGTTTACAACTGCGCTGTAAGTGCACTATTTGACGCTTCTATTTGACTCTCAGATATGAAGAGCACACCCAAAATGTACTATTTAGAAGATTAGCATCAAAACAATTATAATTTTTACAACTGTTTGACGCTTCTATTGACGCACTATTTGACACTTCTATTGACTTTCAGATATGAAGTGCACCCCACTAATGTACTATTTATCAGATTAGCACCCAGAAAATAAGAATGTTTACAACTGCGCTGTAAGCGCACTATTTGATGCTTCTATTTGACTCTCAGATATGAAGAGCACGCCCAAAATGTACTATTTAGCACTTTAGCAGCCAAACAATTAGAAGTTTTACTACTGCGCTGTAAGCGCACTATTTGATGCTTCTGTTTGACTCTCAGAAATCAAGTGCACCCCACTAATGTACTATTTAGCAGATTAGCACCCATAAAATAAGAAATTTTACAACTGTGCTGTAAGCGCACTATTTGACGCTTCTATTGACTCTCAGATATGAAGAGAATGCCCAAAATGTACTATTTAGCAGTTTAGCAGCAAAACAATTAGAATGTTTACAACTGCGCTGTAAGTGCATTATTTAATGCTTCTATTTGACTCTCAGATATGAAGAGCACGCCCAAAATGTACTATTTAGCAGATTAGCAGCAAAACAATTAGAATATGTACAACTGCACTGTAAGCGCACTATTTGACGCTTCTATTTGACTCTCAGGTATGAAGAGCACGCCCAAAATGTACTATTTCGCAGTTTAGCAGCAAAAACAATTATAATTTTTACAACTGCGCTGTAAGCGCACTATTTGACGCTTCTATTTGACTCTCAGATATGAAGAGCACGCCCAAAATTTACTATTTAGCAGCAAAAACAATTATAATGTTTACAACTGTGCTGTAATCGCACTATTTGATGCTTCTATTTGACTCTCAGATATGAAGAGCACACCCAAAATTTACTATTTAGGAGATTAGCAGCAAAACAATTAGAATGTTTACAACTGCTCTGTAAGCGTACTATTTGACGCTTCTATTTAACTCTCAGATATGAAGAGCACGCCCAAAATGGGCTATTTAGCACATTAGCAGCAAAACAATTAGAATGTTTACAACTGCGCTGTAAGTGCACTATTTGACGCTTCTATTTGATTCTCAGATATGAAGAGCACGCCCAAAATGTACTATTTAGCAGTTTAGCAGCAAAAACAATTATAATGTGTACACTTGCGCTGTAAGCGCACTATTTTACGCTTCTATTTGACTCTCAGATATGAAGAGCACTCCCAGAATGTACTATTTAGGAGATTAGCAGCAAAACAATTAGAATGTTTACAACTTCGCTGTAAGCGCACTATTTGACACTTCTATTTGACTCTCAGATATGAAGAGCACGCCCAAAATGTACTATTTAGCAGATTAGCAGCAAAACAATTAGAATGTTTACAACTGCGCTGTAAGCGCACTATTTGACGCAACTATTTGACTCTCAGATATGAAGTGCACACCACTAAAATACTATTTAGTAGTTTAGCAACCAAAAAATTTAAAGTTTTAAAATTGCAATGTGACAGCAGTATTTGACGCTTCTATTTGACTCTCAGATATGAAGAGCACGCCCCAAATTTACTATTTAGTAGTTTAGCACCAAAATAATTTACTTTATAAAACTCCTATGTAACCACAGTATTTGACGCTTCTATTTGACTCTCAGATATGAAGTGCACCCCACTAATGTACTACCAAAACATAAAGTGGAAAACACCCAGAATACATAAAATATATATATAAACAAGTTAAACAACCTGAAATCAGGTAAATATCCGTGGATATAATCTGAATAAAGAATCAAAAGGCTGACATAGCATAATACAGTATTAAATGGAGTGTGTGATAAATGTGGTAATGAGTACACTCACAAACAAACGTGAAATCAGGCTTCTCACCCTCTCAGGGGTAATATGATGTATGATGAATATGAACTTGAAATATCATCCGATGGCAAATATGTAAATAAAGGAAATCAGATATAGTGAAGTTTGTTTTAAAAATACAAAATCACATTTAATGGTCGCACTTACACATAGGAATATTAAGAAGAGCGTGTCTCCAAATATCACGGAACTCCTGTACAACGTGGTAAAAAGACCCAGGAGAAAATCCAGGAACAGGTTTATGGAACCGCCAAATACAGGTAAACCGTAAAATACAAAATAAAAGAACATAAATTAAATATGGACTTTTAATTTATGTTCTTTTACTTTGTATTTTATTGTTTACCTGTAATTGGTGGTTCCATAAACCTGTTCCTGGATTTTCTCCTGGATTTTTTTACCACGCTGTACAGGAGTTCCATGTTATACGGAGACATGCTCTTCTTAATATTCCTATGTGTAAGTGCGACCAATAAATGTGATTTTGTATTTTTATAACAAACTTCACTATATCTGATTTCCTTTATTTACATTTCCTGGCTAATCATGGCAGCATTTAACTTATGGGTAGCTCCTCCCTCCAGCCAATAGGACAGGAATACCAATTAAAGACTTCAATTATCCCTGAGGTATAAGAGATCTCAGAATTTTTTTTATGCTCACCTGGCTATGTATTTCAGCCTATTAATCCCTTAGAGGTTATCCTCCCTCTATAGGAAGACCAGGCACATGCAACCCACCTCTTGGTAGCTGGGGACCCCTGGTAGCCAGAGGAGTTAGTCTTTCCTCCGGCATTCTATTGAAAGCTGCTGCTATGCCTGTCCCTGCAGGTGAAAACTTCTTATTCTGACGCCAGAATTCCAGTTCTGAGGTTCAGGACGCCCGCACATGCGCAGAGGTAAGAGGTCGCGAGTAGCCCTTTGTAGCGGAGATCCAGTATGCCACAAGTTATCTCCGCTTAAGATCCCAGTGAGGCTCAGGAACAAGTAGTTATAAATCCATAAAGCAAGGTTTCCAGCAGGTAAAATAATCCAGCAATATTCCAACAGCAATCCCAATAACTGGACGACACACAACATCAGGAGCAGAACTAAAACATTTATTTCACAGTGGCTTTATAAAGCATGCTCCCATGCAAGGGAGGGATTTTCATTAATTACTACAGTATCCAATCTGGCAATAGTAAGCTCCCACACATCTCCTCCCCTCAACCTGACTCATAATCCCCTTATACTGTACACAGATTCCTCCAGTTTCTGGATGTACCCCTAAACCTAGGGGTACCCCTTTAAATGGCACATTCCCTGGTAGCCCTGATCTGGGTGAGCAACATATCCAAAAATCACCCAGATCAGATCAGGGGATCGGGAAATTCATGGAGGTACTAAAAAGACCGACCGCGCTGGAGAGAACAGCCGAATTGGGCTCCATGCGATGGGGTCCTGCGGTCGGTCACAGTATAAGGGAATAAACTGCACGAAAGACTAAGGCTACAGAGATCAGGTAGGGTTCGCATGAATCCCCTCGTTCAGTTGTTTCTGTCTACCGAACGAGGGACCGGGCTTGTGGAGGTCTCAGCGGTGTTCGCCTAGTCGAGTGTCCGATTTGGGTTCCAGACATTCGACGGCAAAACACCGCTGTTCGGGAGTTTTAAAATGGCCGTCACCTCGTGTTTGTTTCCCGAATGGCGGCCACCCCGAGAACAAAGGACCTACTGCATAGCTTGTTAATTACCCATTCGCAACATTGTTGCAACGGGTAATTGAAGGCACACTTCACACAGGGGAGGTCTGATTGTTCGGTAGTTTCATTCCCTTAGTTTGTTCGAATGATTCTACCGAACAATCAGACGAATACACGTTATTTAGACACATAAAAACCAGCAATTTACCCGAATGCAGTTATACACATGCAATTTTCAGCCATCCGCTACACCTTTTGTTTGTCACTAACAAAAATGGCGGCTCCAGGCGCTCGCGGAAAATCACGCATGCGAGACTAAAGGAACAGCTCGTTTTTTTTTATTTAAAGGGGAAAAAGTGCGGGTTTTTTGCCACGAAATTCAAATCCTTCAAGGAGGTACAATTAGCTCTCTGGGAAACAAGCCCTCTCACTCTGCAGGTATTCAGTTATCTTTTAATTTCCTTTTATAATATCATTTTGTATACGTTGAGGTTTTTTTCTGTTAAAACATTTTTTTTTAAAACCCTTGACTCTAAAGAGAGAAATTTTTCTTTTTTCCCTTTTAGCTTAAAATTTTGTTTTTTCAAGGATGGATCACTCTCCCACTTCAGCTAAGTCAGCGACTATAGGTCATAGGTGAGCATAAATTTTTGTAATTTCCACATCATTGTCCAAATAAAAAGAGTGCATTAGAGGGTACAGTCTCTTGACTTCTGTAATTTCAGCCCTCAAGACCGGACAGGCCCTAAATTTCCTTCCAGGAGAAGGGATAAACCGACAGCCTGCGTTGGATGTGGATCCAGACCCTTGGACAACTGCATGCTGTGTAAAAAATGTCTTACTAGAGTTGCAGGAGAAGCTGAATTCCAGCAACATCCACAAGCATCCACCTCAGCCAAGGATATAGCCTCGTGGATTAAGCAGGCTGTGGCAGAAGGTATTGCTGAATCACAAAACGGCAAACGGCCCAGATGTGAATATCCCCAGGTGAATATTGATTCTTCAGATGAAGATTTCGGACAGGATTCAGGTTCCTTCGACCTTGAACGTATGTCTTCTAGCGATGAAGAATACTCCTGCCCCCTTGACTCTAAAGCAATAGAGCATTTGATCTCTCTGGTGAGAAGAACACTGGAACTACCTGATGAGGTGTTGGTAACCTCAGCAGCGGACAAACATTTTGAGGACCTCAGTAAAAGAAAATCTTCTTTTCCGGTACACAAGTCCATTAAGGATCTCATAAGTAATGAATGGAAGACTCCAGAAAAGAGACTTTCATTGCAAAACCGTCTGCCTAAGTTATACCCCATTCGTGAGGAGGACTCCAGGCTTTGGACTTCCAACCCGAAGGTTGATGCCTCAGTTATCAAGGTGGCCAAATGCTCTATCCTCCCGATAGACTGCAATGCTTCCCTGAGAGATCCTATGGAGAAACGAATAGATGCTGACATTTCTAAATGTTTTTTGGCAGCTGGTACGGGATGTCACCCTGCGGTTTCTATTTCAGCTATGTCCAGAGCTATGAGAGTATGGATCCTGGACATAGAAGAAGATTTGGACAAGGGTGTCAAAAGGCAACATATTGCTGATTCCCTAAGGGAGGTCAAACTGGCCAGTGAATGACTCTTAGAAGCCTCTACGGATATAATTAAGGTTATGTCGAAGGTTATGGCTTTCTCAGTTGCAGCCAGACGTGCCTAATGGCTCAGATCATGGGGGGCTGATATGACCTCAAAGCATAACTTATGTTCCCTTCCTTTTTCAGCAGAATTATTGTTTGGGAAACCCCTTGAAGATGCCATTAAAAGAGCTCTGGATGTCAAGCAGGTTCTGCTTCCGCAGGATAGACGTCCAAGAAGACCTCCACTAGAACGTCGTTCTTATAGAGAACACCCTTCTTATAGAGATAGTAAGGCTTATAGGCCAGGCCATGAATACTACAGACCTACCTCCTGGAGAAGTGGTCGAACCAGCAAGTCCACCAGAGGTAAGACTAATACCTCTTCCTTTCATCCTTCCAAGCAGTTCTAAAGGTTACTACACCCAAACTCCTTTGGTAGGAGGAAGACCTATACATTTCCAAAGGGTTTGGGCAGAGATCCCAGACAATTGGGTGAGATCTATAATTACGGAGGGCTACTCTCTAGAATTTATGGACATTCCCCGAGCAAGATTCATAAGGACCAGTGTTCCCTTGGATTCGATAAAAAGAGACGCTTTGATCCAGTACACTGGAGATCTCCTACAACAACGGGTGATTGTTCCTGTTCCAGAAAGTCAAAGGTTTGAGGGTTTCTATTCCCCTCTATTTCTGGTCAAGAAACCTGGAGGAAAGTGGAGACCCATTCTGGATTTACATCAACTCAATATCCACTTGAGAATAAAAAAATTCAGGATGGAATCTCTTCGCTCTATCATGCCGTCAGTTCACCAAGGAGATTGGCTAATCTCAGTAGATCTGAAAGACGCCTACTTCCATGTCCCGATAGCCCTTCATCACCAGAGGTTCCTCAGATTCTGTGTAAATAATCAACATTTCCAGTTCCAGGCTTTACTGTTTGGAATCAGTACAGCACCAAGGACCTTCTCAAAGATACTGATGACGGTTATTGCATTGCTCAGAAGGAAGGGGATAACAATATTCCATTATCTAGACGATATCCTGGTAGTTGCTCAAACATACAGGGATTTACTGAATCATCGACTGATGGTACTCCAGACATTAGAATGCTTTGGCTGGTTAATCAACTACCAGAAGAGTCAACTTCTGCCTGCCAGAAGGCTGGTGTTCCTGGGAGCAAAATTCGACACAGTGTCAGCAGTAGTGTCTCTGGCCCATGACAGAAAACTAAAAATATGGTCACGCATTCGAGAATTTCAAATCGAAAAAACAACTACAGCAAGAAAGAGTATGAAGATCTTAGGTTCCCTTTCCTCCACAATTGGCCTAGTGAGATGGGCTCAGTGGAACCTCCGCCCTTTACAAGAATACTTCCTGCAGACGTTCGACTCGACCTCCCAGAAATGGGAAATGAAGATGTCCATTCCGGATCATATAAAAAGATCCCTCAACTGGTGGCTTTCCTTGGAAAACCTATCCAAAGGTTTCCCTCTGAAGGAGGTAGACTGGATGATAATCACCATGGATGCCAGTCAAGATGGTTGGGGTGCACATCTAAAGGACCACTTTGTCCAGGAACTATGGCCCCTGCACACAAGACATCTTCCTTCCAATATAAGGGAACTAACAGCAGCCTTTCTAGCTCTTCTACATTTCAAATATCTCATTCAGCATCATTGGGTGAAGCTGAGAATAGACAACAGGGCAGCAGTAGCATACATCAACCATCAGGGTGGTACCAGGAGTGGTGCACTGATGAAGGAAATCAAGCCAATCATGATTTTGGCACAGAGGAATCTAGCCGATCTCTCGGCCTTATACCTTCCTGGGAAGGAGAATACGGTTGCGGATTTCCTGAGCAGACATCAAGTGAAAGAGACGGAGTGGAAGCTATCCAGCTTGATCTTCCAACAACTGGTAAGGATGTGGGGGCTCCCACAGGTGGATTTAATGGCCATTGCTCAGAATACTCATCTTCCATGCTTCATGTCAAGGAGATTTCACCCACTGGCATATGTTCAAGACGCCCTTTCATCAAGATGGCCATCCGATCAAGCTCATTCCCGCCCTTCTGAAGAAAATCTCCAAGGAACGATGCAGGATAATAGCCATCATCCCGTTCTGGCCACGTCATCCCTAGTTTCCTCTCCTGAAAAGTCTGTTGATGGACGATCCATGGGAACTTCCAGTCTTCCGGGATCTTCTGTCTCAGGGACCTCTAGTACACCCAGAACCACACAAACTGCGTCTTCATGCATGGCTCTTGAAAGGCAATCCTTAAGCGAGCAGGGGTTTCCTGATGAAGTTGTTTCCACCTTGCTACGTTCCAGGAAGACTTCTACCTCTACTACATTCTATAAGATATGGTGGGCCTTCGCAGATTGGCTTCATATAGATGTGATGAATTTAAAGTCACCTTCTATTTCCCAGGTTTTGGGATTCTTACAGGCTGCATTGGATAGAGGTCTGAGTCTGAACACACTCAAGGTTCATTGTTCTGCTATCTCTGCCATGTCAGGTATCAGATGGGCTGAAGACCCCATGGTAATCCGCTTTATGAAAGCAGTTCTTAGAATTAGACCACCGATCCGGGTCTACAATTGTCCCTGGGATCTACCTTTGGTCTTACAGGCCTTGGTGGAGCAGCCTTTCAAACAATTGGACAATATCCCTATGTTATCCCTGACACAAAAGACTCTACTTCTATTAGCCTTAGTTTCAGCTAGAAGGATGGAGGACATTAGAGGTCTTTCGGTAGAAGAACCTTATACCACTTTCTACCATGACAAGGTAATTCTCCGTCCCAGACCAGAATTTCTACCTAAGGTGGTCTCTCCTCTTCACATAAATCAAGAAATTATTCTTCCAATCTACTTTCAAAATCCATCAAACAAGATGGAAGAAAAGTTTCACATGCTGGACCTTAAGAGGTGCCTTTTGGTATACATTCAACGGACTAAGGCTTGGAGAAAGTCTCCCCAACTTTTTGTTGTCCATTGGGGCTCCTGTAAGGGTGAAGCAGCCTCTGTTTCTACTCTCCGATCCTGGACGGTTTCCTCTATTTCAAGAGCTTATAAGGTCCGAGGAGTTCCAGTTCCAAAAGGTATAAGGGCACACTCTACCAGATCGATTGCCACTTCATGGGCTGCAGAGTCTGGAGTATCACCAGAGAGCATTTGTGAAGCAGATAATTGTTCTTCTATAAGGACGTTTATTAGTCATTACAAACTTGATATTTCTTCAGATCCTCAACCGGCAATTTGGTCTTTCAGTTCTAAATTCTTGTTCTTCTCGAAGCAAATAAATATTTATGGGCATCTATTCCCTCCCTGTGGTATTTACTGCTTGGGTATTCCCCATATGTTAAATGCTGCCATGATTAGCCAGGAAAGAGGAAAATGTATTCATACTTACCGTAATTTTCTTTTCCTGGCTATTATTCATGGCAGCATTTGGGTTTCCCACCCATTTATTATGTCGGCTCAGCTTGCTACTAGACTGAGGAACCTAGCATTCTGGGATCTCTTATACCTCAGGGATAATTGAAGTCTTTAATTGGTATTCCTGTCCTATTGGCTGGAGGGAGGAGCTACCCATATGTTAAATGCTGCCATGAATAATAGCCAGGAAAAGAAAATTACGGTAAGTATGAATACATTTTCCTCTATATTCCATCGGATGATATTTCAAGTTCATATTCATCATACATCATATTACCCCTGAGAGGGTGAGAAGCCTGATTTCACATTTGTTTGTGAGTGTACTCATTACCACATTTATCACACACTCCATTTAATACTGTATTACACTATGTCAGCCTTTTGATTCTTTATACAGATTATATCCACGGATATTTACCTGATTTCAGGTTGTTTAACTTGTTTTATATATATTTTTACGTATTCTGGGTGTTTTCCACTTTATGTTTTGGTTGTATATTGTTTAGGTGTTTGTGAGGTACACCTGGGATCACTTCCAGTTATACGTTTTCCACCATATACATTTCTAGTGTGTATACTTTTCTCTGTTTGTATATTACCCACTAATGTACTAGTTTGCAGAATTCTTTCCTAAGCTGTCCCTCACAGATGCAGCATCCTCTCCCTACACTAATAAGACCTCATGTGCGTGCGGTGCTACGTGCCTTTAGCTTGTATATAGAGCCTGGTCACATGCTGCACTGGCCAATCACAGCCATGCAATTAGTAGGCATAGCTGTTATGGCTTCTAAGGGCACACGAGTCAAGCGTTTGTTGATTGGCTGCTCTGCAGCCTTTCAAAACGTGCCATTAAATCGCCGAACACCGAACTCCAACCGGGGTCCAAAAAACTTTAAAGTCTGGGTTCGCTCAACTCTACATACAATCATACCCCACCACCCTTCTTGTTTTTCCTATCCTTCCTACATAACGTGTACCCATTTAAGGTAACTGCCCAGTCATGTGTCTCATCCCACCATGTTTCTGTTATGCCCATTATATCATATTGTTTAGTATATGCTATTGCCTCTAGTTCCCCCATTTTGTTATATAGGCTCCTTTCATTAGTAAGCATACATTTAATATTATCATGAATCATTTGTACTTTTTGTGAATTATCAATATTATATACATCCTCTGTTTTGAGCTTTCCCTCCCCCCCCCATCTCCACCCCCTTTGTTCTGAGCTAAAGCCCATCTCCTTTCTATCCTATCTCCATTTTCTAGATTACTTTGACCCTCCCCCCCCACTACTAGTTTAAAATCTCCTCCAACCTTCTAGCCACCCTATCCCCCAGCACAGCAGGCCCTCTTCTGTTTAGGTGCAATCCATCAGGACTTTACAGGTTGTACCCAAGCGCAAAATCGGCCCAGTGCTCTAAAAACCCACAACCCTCTTTTATGCACCAAGACTTCAGCCACGCATTGACCTCAATAATCTCCCGCTGCCTATCTGCTGTAGCGCGCAGCACAGGTAATATTTCTGAAAATATTACCTTGGAGGTCCTTTTCTTTAGCTTACTTCCTAGTTCCCTGAACTCATTCTTTAGGACCTTCCATTTTCCTCTGACTTTGTCATTGGTACCAATATGGACCATGACAGCTGGGTCGTCCCTAGCCCCTCCCAATAATCCCTCCACTCGAGCATCCGGGAGACAACAAACTGTCCGGTTGAGACAATCAGAGTGGCTATCTACCCTCTTAATAATAGAGTCCCCCACCACCACAACCTGTCTGAACTTCCTTACCCTCTCAACCCCATCTGTACTAGAGGGGCTGTTCCCACAGCTGTTAGAAGGAACAGCTTTCTGCAGTACAGCTACTCCTGAACTGATGTTCCCAACATCTTCACTCAAACGGGCAAACGACAAATTTACCCACCCCCCTTTTTTTCTTTCCCTCTCTTCTCTTTTTTTATTCACTTTAAATAATGACACTGAATTTTAAAGTGAAACAAACACTATGCTCTATCCAGTTATTAAACAAAAATGTTCAAAATCATACAATAAGTATTTAGAGTAATATGAAGGTTTTCTGGTTTATCTTGACCTGTCTTGGTTACTAGAATAAGTAGAAGATACTGTTTATAGTTGTGGTTTCCTATTAAATGGTTATCTTCTACATTGGTGAACATTCTATTTTAAAAGATCTTTTGAAAGTCCTCTCAAATTTTAAAGATCTTAGTATTTTTGATTAACCAAAGTTATGTATTTTATCTAGATTATAATCTATATTTTCTAGCATGCTTAAATTGCATTAGGTTTGTACAACAAATTTCATATTATAAACTAATCTAATTTTAATATATTACTCTAACTTTATACAATACTCAACATAACAATGTTAATGTCCTACTTTATTATACTATTGATTACACAATATGAAATTGAATTACAATCAAAGAAAAAAAGATATCCAGTTATCTTTGAAAGAAATTTGATCTTCCCACTTCATACTTTAATACAGGATTTTATTTTTTTTACTCAATCTTGAAAGTTGTTATAGACTTTCACACTTGAGATTATTTCTAGAAAGACTTTTCACTTAAAATAGGCATTGAATCAACTACAGTATATAGATAAATTCTACTCTTTTTAGTTATTAAACCGATTACTTAAAAGCCTTACTATAAATAGTTAAAACTGTCTGTAACCCTCGATACTACCCCAGCTCAGTTAATTACTAAAACAATTTAAGAAGCTAGAGAGGGCAAATGGGAAGGAATCAAAAATGCTTTATTTTTTTCTACAAGTCGTTTTATGGTAAAGCTGGATTATTTTAATCTACTTTATTAAATATAATGTTGTGACATATAAATAGTAGGACTATTTAAGATATTAAAATATATATTTTTAATTAGTTTGAACCTTGAACACTTAATACATGGCTTAAACTCCCTAGTAAAATGTTAATAGATGACAAAATCTGTGTTTTGTACAAGAAACACACTGCAAGAATAATTAAGTTTTTTGGAAATTCTCCAAATTTTTTAGAAACATAAAATGTGACTGCAGAAAAGAACCATTCGGCTCATCCAGTCTGCCCAATTTCCTAAATTCTGTACTTTCATTAGTACTTGGTAGTGATGTCGCGAACATAAAATTTTCGGTTCGCGAACGGCGAACGCGAACTTCCGCAAATGTTCGCGACCGGGCGAACCGCCATAGACTTCAATAGGCAGGCGAATTTTAAAACCTACAGGGACTCTTTCTGGCCACAATAGTGATGGAAAAGTTGTTTCAAGGGGACTAACACCTGGACTGTGGCATGCCGGAGGGGGATCCATGGCAAAACTCCCATGGAAAATTACATAGTTGATGCAGAGTCTGGTTTTATTCCATAAAGGGCATAAATCACCTAACATTCCTAAATTGTTTGGAATGACGTGCTTTAAAACATCAGGTATGATGTTGTATCGATCAGGTAGTGTAAGGGTTGCGCCCGTTTCACAGTGACAGACCAAACTCCCCGTTTAACGCACCGCAAACAACCGCAAACAGTCCATTTGCACAACCGCAAACTCCCCATTTGCACAAGGTTGGATACCAAGCTAGCCATGTCCGTTCCTTGTCCTCACTGATGTCATTGAAGGTCTCTTCCTTCACCCAGCCACGTACAACACCAAGGGTCCCCAAAAGGTGACAACAAGCCCCCTGGGACGCCTGCTGTGTTTGGTCTTCCACCTCCTCAAAGCCACCTTCCTCCTCTGACTCCTCTTCTTCAGACTCCTCTCTCTGCGTTGCCTCTCTCTGCGTTATTATAAGGTGTGTTAAGTAGTACTATTCTTATCAGTTTAATCCCTGTTACGAAAGAACAGTGAACACACAGTTCAGCATCTCTGTGTATCCACCCGTATGAACTGCCCCCCGGGAAAAAACCCAGGGTGTAGTGACAGATGCCACACAGAAACCAATGTACCAGTATGGGACTCCAGAGATCCCAAACGGGGCTTAACCCCAAGAAAACAAGAAACAAAATATATAGCACAATGCAGTCAGTCTCCCTATGTCATAGGGACTAACCACATATCTGGAGATGTCTATAGAGATAGAGTGTGAGATGAAAAAATATATATAACTAGAGACCCAAAAACAAAAAAGTCAAATGAAGTATATACAAATGTGACTCGAGTTCCATGCCAAATAAAGAGGGTATGCACGGGGATGAAGATCAGCCATCTAATATTATATCAAAACCCTAAATTATCAGCTTTATTATATTACACTATAAGGGTATGAGTAACAAATGGTTAAGTCCCCGGCTAAATACCCCACTTCGAAGTGTCAATAGTTAGTATAGCAAAATGCTCACAATAGAGCTAGTAAAGGTAAAATGGAGAGGCATGAATGTCTTAGACCAATAGGGTCTGGGGGTATGCACACCCCCAGACCCTATTGGTCTAAGACATTCATGCCTCTTGATAATCTCTGTATTTAAGAGACCCTTAACTAGTCTCCTGTTGGCCCCTGACGAAGGTGCTCCTCTATAGCACCGAAACGTACGTCGGGCATTTCCTTCTCATATCTTTTATATGAGCACTGGGCACTGGTGATTGTAGCACCATGATCTATATCTAACACTTATCTTTATTTTTACCTATTTCCTATGCCTGTCTAGTTAGATTTACAGGGAGAGAGGCTTTACTTAATTGTAAATATCAGTCTGTTTTTAGACTGAATACTAACTGTTTTTCACTTTCCATCTCTCCATTTTACCTTTACTAGCTCTATTGTGAGCATTTTGCTATACTAACTATTGACACTTCGAAGTGGGGTATTTCGTCGGGGACTTAACCATTTGTTACTCATACCCTTATAGTGTAATATAATAAAGCTGATAATTTAGGGTTTTGATATAATATTAGATGGCTGATCTTCATCCCCGTGCATACCCTCTTTATTTGGCATGGAACTCGAGTCACATTTGTATGTACTTCATTTGACTTTTTTGTTTTTGGGTCTCTAGTTATATATATTTTTTCATCTCACACTCTATCACTATAGACATCTCCAGATATGTGGTTAGTCCCTATGACATAGGGAGACTGACTGCATTGTGCTATATATTTTGTTTCTTAATCCCTGTTACGTCACTTATCAGGGGACATGTATATGGCATCGATTTTAGGAACCGGGAGATAGAAAAAGATGCTTGGTCGGTCCTCCTTCTTCAAATTTGGGGCACTGCGCATGCAATCTAATGTGCCACCAGATAGGAGTGGTGTGTTAAGTAGTACTATTCTTATCAGTTTAATCCCAATGTCATGACTACTAGTGTGGTCCAGCACGCAGAAACTATGTAAACATATACATAGGCAAGAAAAGAAAAAGAAAAGGACAGAGCGTAAACCGGACCTTAGAATGGCCATACTAAAACGCTAGAGACAGAGAATGGTCAAAGGGAAAGCCGAGGTCAAGGAAGCCAGAAAATACACAATACCGTTTACACAAGCCAAGTCAGGGAAACCAGAATTCAGAATAACCAGGGAAAAGCCAAGGTGCGTCTGAGCGGAAG